TAAATCGAGGGGGGCCATTGTGTCATGTTTCTGAGGTTATAATGGCTGAACTGGTGTACTTGGAAGTCTGAAATTTCAAATTTAACCTATCTACATAATGCACATAACAATATGTAAAAATTAGGAAAATCAGAGATGGTGACCCGCAAAATTTTCTTTAAATTGGTTGAAATTGGTTAATGATTTGACCCACATACAAATATTTTATGTATATATATATATACAGAAGTGGCCAAAAAAATAGGGCAGGCTAACCTTTTTAATTTATTGCTTATTTCTGGTGCTATTACCTCGGATGCAAATAATTTTGTTATTATATTTTAATTTTTAAAGATACTTTGACTTATTTTACAACGTCAGGCTGCAATAGGAGTGATACTATGGGTAAAAAGCGTGGTATTAATAACTTTGTTACAGGTAAAATAAATGCACTATTTTTGGAGGGTTATTCTCAAAGCAGTATAGCAAAATAGCTAAAATATTGATGAGCCGTACAAACGCTTTACGAGTACAAGACTTATCAAATTGCAAAAATTGTGATAGAAAACGTGAGTACATCACGAGAAGACCTTAATTTTAAAGAATATTGTTAATAGTAAACCCCACACAACATTTGCAAGGTTGTCACAACTTGCTATGGAAAGAGGACTTACTGTTAGTTTAAGAACAATTTGTGTTATGACTTTAGTCTAGTTTCAAGAAGACCAGCTGAAAAAACCTTTATTAACTCTACCTCAATTACATGCTAGGATTAAATTTTATAAGAGTCTAAAAGACAAAACACCGGATTGGTGGGAACGCGTAATGTTTATAGACGAAAGTATGTTTCAACAAACTAGAGGCATGGGGTATAATTATGTTTGAAGATCTGTGGGAGAACGCAGAATCCAAAGTATATCATAAAAACAGTAAAACATGCTGTTTCAGTCATGGTTTCGGGAGCAATCACAGCGCAAAGCCGATGCGGGTTGCGCATCTTTAAAAACGGTGAAAAAGTCAATGCACAAAAATATTCAACTGTTTTTTATTATTATTTATTATATATACTTTTATTTTGCTGATTAAACAGTTACAATAACAATTTTCATATAATCATGTAAAAAATACATAAAATACACGTCGTAAAGATAAACATAACAAAAAACGTTTTTTCATAATTTTTTATTTTATATTATGTATATTCTGTTATAATCAGTCAGGGACTTAAAGAAGGTAACGATGATGTGTTTAACATCACAACCTTTTCATAGAGCCCCTATAGTCACTCATTATAAAGACAATTTAATTTTTAAAAATAAAATAAAAATTCAATAAAAACAAAGCTCATATTTTTTAGTGTAACAAATTCAAAAACAAAAAATATTAAAAACAAGAAAAATAAAAAAGAAGACGGAAAAAAAAATAATAATAAAAACAAATACTGTAAATTAAAAAAATATATATGTCAGGAATTAAGAAAATGCATTTTAGTTTCCCGTTTAAACGATGAAATGCTTTTTAGGTCTTTAATATTTTTATTTTGGAAATGATTCCATGTTGATGGGCCACAGTTTGTAATTAAAAAATTTGAATGATGTGAATTAATTTTCCCTAAATGATAGTTGTACCTGATATTTGACCGCAAATTATATTTTTCGGAAAACGATATCAAGAAAGATAATCTGAAAAAACGCTTGGTAGGAGGTTGTTCTTATACTTATACATAAAAATTAATATCTGTAATGTGCTAAGCTTCTTATTATCTAGAACCATAATGCTTTTCATCACTGGGGCTGGGTTTACTAACCTATTTAAATAGTTTATTACTTTACATGCATGGTTTTGCAGGCTTTGCAATTTTAGCAGTTTTGTTTTATGGGTGCTAGCCCATACAATATTTGCGTACAAAAGTTGACTATGTACAAGAAAACTAAAGTAAAGCATATTACGCGATTTACTATCGAGAAAAGGTCTCGACTTATACAAAACGCCTATTACAGAGGAAATTTTAGTTTTAAGGAGACCAATATGGTTTCTCCATGACAAATTTTCATTAAAAAGCACTCCCAAATATTTTGTACATTTTTCACGTTTGATTTCATTTTTATTAATAAGCAGTTTAGGAAGCTTTAAAGGGAGATTAATTGATTGTTGTTGTTTTTTTATGAAAAAGGGTAAAACTAGTTTTTTGACAATTTAGGGATAATTTATTTGCTTTGAACCAGAGATTGAATTTTTCAAGTTCAATATTCATAGTTTCAAACAAAGTCTTTGCATTAGTATGATTAAAAAATAAATTTGTATTGTCAGCATACATAGTTGTAGATATTTTTACGGATGCTTTATGCATATCGTTAATATAAATTAAAAACAATAATGGACCTAGGATAGAACCCTGAGGAACTCCACACCTAATATCGAGGGTTTTTGACTTTTCTAGTAATACAAATTGCTTTCTGTTAGACAAATAGCTTTGAATCCACTTAAATTTTGAGCCTACTATACCGTAATATTTTTGCTTGGAAAGTAAATACTGTGATCAACCGTATCAAAGGCCTTGGAAAGATCAACAAAAACTCCTAATACCAGCTCATCATTATCAAACGACTTGAATATTTTAAGTGTATATATTATTAAGTGAATATATTAAGTGTATTGAAAGACAATGTGAAACTGCACATGGAAATTACTAAAACCAGGATTTTCCAGCAAGATTCAGCACCTTGTCATACTGCTAAAACAGTTAAGAAATGGTTTACTGATAATAAAATTGAATTATTATCTAATTGGCCCACAAGTTCGATCGATCTGCTGGAATATAATGAAGCAGATAGTTGGATCACATCAGCCAAAATCTGAAAAACATCTTCAAGAAGTTCTTGAAAAAGTGTGGGCAAAACATGAGTACACAGTATGCCAAGAAGAAGACAAGCCGTGCTTAATAATAAAAGGTATCCGACAAAGTATTGAACTATAACATTCAAGTCATTTAAACTGTATTTTTGCTATAATTTGGCGCAATAACTATTTTTATTGAATATTACCAATTTCTGATAATTTTTATCTATTTTTTTCATTTATTTTGTATTGCATTTATTCAATAAACATTAAATTATTGCAAAATTTGAGTTATTTTTTATGATTCGCTATAACTTTTTGGCCACTACTGTATATATATATATATATATATATATATATATATATATATATATATATATATATATATATATATATATATTCTACTAAACAATATGCTGGTAAAAAGTTCGATTATTTAACTGTTTTAGTAAGTGGTTTTCCAAATTGCCCGGAAGGTAAAGTTTTATCTATTAGACCCATTCAGTCTAGTACAGGAATTTCTATCTGAAGAGGAATTATAGAAGATTTAGAAGAATGGAATCTTAAGAAAAATATTGTTGCCCAGGTTTTTGATACAACGGCTTGTAATACTAGAGTGAGAAACTGAGCGGCAACAATGTCGCCATCATGTTTTAAAACTGATTCTTGAGTCATTTTGGAATGCTTTATTTCAAAAGGAGACAGCATCTGATGACAGAAAATTTAAAATCTTTAAAAAGGAATGGCTTAATTCTGAAAAAATTCCTCAGAGTTTCTGTGGTTGAAATTCACAGAAAAATTGTTGGCACTATAAATAAGCAACGGTTATTTGCTGAATTAGCGCAAATAACTGCTTTTGTAACTCTTTTTTTATAGGATAAATTATCCTGCATTAGAAGATAGTTACGTATTCTAATGAAAAATTATTATTTTTAATAAATATTTTTTATCGAAATAAAAACTGTTATTGCTCCACTAAATAAAAAATAAAATAAAAATAAAATAAAAAATATTGTTTCACCAAGTGGAAAATATTGTTCCGCTAAGTGGAAAGTTTTCCTACAAAGTTTCATTTTTGACGTATTTTAGGTTGTTTTTTTTTTTGTTTTTTGCATTGAGTTTTTTTGTCATATATTAAAATTTACAATGAAATAAATCGTGTTAATAAATAAGAGAGCTGGAGCAAGCAGAAGACATGAATTGTCTTATCATCAAGCCCTATCATAAAGTTTACATTAAAAAATCGTCAGTTAATATACAAAAATAAAGAGTAGCTACGTATATAATAAGAATTTTAAACACCTTAGTTACAATATAACTAATAATATAATATTAGTGTTGAAATATAACGCATTATATCAAAGATTAAAAATAATTTAAAAATATTAAAGTTTTGAACAAAAAATTAAATTAGATTAGTTGCAACTAAAGAGTAGTGTCAATAGCTATTTTTTTTTAGATAATTTATATTATTTAATGTATTTATTTTAAAAGAGATAATTTAGATCAAAGTCTTTTTGTAATAAGAGATTCTTTGATTCATTTCTGAATTTTTCTAAAAAGGTATTTTAAACATTATTTATTTTTGAAATAAAATTTGAAAAATGTTTCCATAGAAACGGTCCGCGGTTTTGGATATTGTAAAAATTTAGTTTTGAATTAGTTTTTGGAACAATAAAGTTATAAATTAAATATTTAATAAGATACTTGTGCAATATTTCACTAAAGTAAGACTGAAATACTATTGGAGTGAGCTCATGTTTAGTTTTAAACATGAATTGTAAAACTTAATGTATATTAAGTTTATAGACACTTAGGGCATCGAGCTTCCTTAAAAGAGGTTCGCAATGAAAAGTTCTGTGTGCACCAAATATAATCCTGCATTCATGTTTTTTCTTACAACGTTTACGTTTTTTCAATTTATCATAATAAGTACTACCCTATACAATATTGTAGAAAGAGATAAAACTATGAATAAATGAAAAGTATATATTTTTTAGAGAAGAAGTGTTAGGATATGGTTTAGTTTTATATAATATATAAACATTTCTTGATATTTTATTTTTTATATATTTTATACGTGGTTTCCATGACAAATTTTCATCTATTATTACTCCTGGAAAATTAACGATTGGTTCCCTTTTACTAAATGTTTTATTGATTAAAAGATTGGGTAATTTTAGAGGGAAATCGTCACCTTTACAAGGTTTGGAAAATAAAATAAATTTATTTTTTCTACATTTAACGAAAGCCTATTATTTATAAACCACTCGATTATTTTGAATAGTTCTTCATTAAATATTTTAAAGAGAGCTTTATGTCTTTGTTGGAATAAAATAGATTGGAGTCGTCTGCAAACAATGTAACATTCAAAATATTTGATGCTAAGTATAAATCATTTATATACAATAAAAGTAATAATGGTCCTAAGATTAAACCGTGGGGCACACCACATGTAGTATGTTTTTCTTTTTCTTTTTTTTTATAAATAATACATTGTGTAAGGTTTAAAATGAAAGTAATCAAATCAAATTCGGCAGCACTCAATAATGTTTTTAAATAATTTTTTAAATATAACTTGTATTCTTATGTGTAAAACATCGTGTTTCTTTGCAGAATAGTAAAATTTTTGGAATATTTTGTTTTTGGCCTACACACACATATATATATATATATATATATATATATATATATATATATATATATATATATATATATATATATATATATATATATATATATATATATATATATATACAAGGCCAGCGCGAAAGGGATGTGTGGGTGTGAGACCCCCACCCCATCTTTCCTCCATCAATGAATATTTCTTTCATTTAGTCGGCAAACTTGACCCTTTTAGACATGTCAGTTTGCAAATGTAGACCCTTTCAAACCAATTCTTCAGCAAATTTCCAAAAACGAGGACCTTATTATTATTTTTTTTAATTGGCGCTCCTTTTCCACCATTATATATATATATATATATATATATATATATATATATATATATATATATATATATATATATATATATATATATATATATATATATATATATATATATATATATATATATATATATATATATATATATATATACATATATATATAATAAGAATTTTTTCCATAAAAATCTTTACATTTAGAAAATGAAAGATCAACTGATCTTAGTCGTCCCGAAAATAACCGACAAGGAACTAATATGCTACGAGATCCACCACCTTACGAAGAATCATTTGTAAATATGGTTGAAAATATTTCTTTGCCTACTTATGAAGAAACAACATGAATGGAATAATAAACTCTAGTATAAACATAATTTATTTTGAGGTACTTTTCTCAGCTGAATAATAATGTTATAAATAAAAACTAAAAGTTTCTAAATATCGATCATTTAATATTTATAAATATAACCCTTTTAAATGAAGTTTTAATTTATATAGCATTAATGTTTAAAAAAACCTAATACGCAGTAAAAACTTGTATTAAACAATTACCTAAATGTTTTTTTTTTACTTTTTGTTTTTCTAAAATAGAGGAATAGTTTTTTTTAGCTGTTTAAAAGTATTTTTTCCCATACCTTTTTTCCTACTTTCAACTTATCTTTTTATCACAAAAATCTTCAATTACATAAATCTAAAAACATATATTAATTTCTTTCTCAAATTTTATATGGACGTTGTTATTGCTATTGCTGTTATTCTAGCTGCAAATAATTTGCAGTTTACAATTATTTTTTTAATTTACAATTTATAATAATTTTACTTTGTTATTAATTATTTATTATTATTATTAATTTATTATTGGTTTATTATTATTTATTTATTATTATTATTATTAATTACAATAATTGCAATTTAGAATTATTGTATTATGACCTTAGATCTGATAAAATACTTTATTTAAAATATTTGTTATTCAAGTTTATTATTTTTATTATCTTGTTAGGATTTATATTTAAAAACCTTTTTTTTTTTTTTTTTAAATATATTTTCGCTGTTTATATAAAAATAAAATAATAAAATTACAATGGAACTTTTACATTACACGAAGAATATATATAAAACAGACAGAGGCTCAAAGAAGATAATGATGACTGGTGTCACCACAATCTTTTCATAGAGCCCTTTTACAATATTATTTAAAGCCCGCATGGCTTTAAAAAATTTAAAACAAATATTTTATCTGTTAAATACTACGTGAAGAATAAAGAAAAACTCATATATACATATATTCTCATATATACATATACCTGCAAAAACACACATATATACAAACATACTTACATATATGTCAGAAATTAAGAAGTTGCAGTTTCATTTGTCGTTTAAAAGAGAAAGAGCTTTTTGAATTTTTTATATTGATATTTTTTAATTGATTCCATAATGACGGGCCTTGGCTAATAATAAAGAATTTCGACACTTGCGATTTTACTATGCTCAAGTGATAGTTATGGTTATTAAGCTTATTTAAATAGGGTAAGGTAGGAATTGAACTTAATTAACTTATTTAAGCTTATTTGAATAGGGTAAGGTAACTTAGTTAAGCTTATTCAAATAGGGTAAGGTAACTTAGTTAAGCTTACTTAAATAGGGTAGGGTAGGAATTAAACTTTTTTCACCTATTTTTATATTTGAATATAAAAAATACAGTAAAACACATTTAAATTAAAGCTTTAAACGCTTTTAATCTGCGGTATTGCAAGAAACCTTGCCACAACACTATCTCAACCCGAATAACCATTTAAAATAAAATATATTTAATTTGAATATAATATGTTTTGTGTTTGAAATTTTTTTTTTTTCCCTGTATTTTATAAATTCAAATTTAAAAATAGCTTTTAAATCTTAGCTTAAAAACAGCATCTTTTTTGAAACATTTTTACTGAGTAGGAACAAAATGGACGAGATCCCCAGAGAAAAATCCTCCTGGAAATAATTGCAATGAAATAATAAAAAAAAATCCGATAAAAAATCCTCCTCCTATTTTTCCCGAGAAAGAATTCTCCATAATTTTACCACAAGAAAAAAACCAACATGTTAAGTAAAACAATTTTGTAAACCTTTGCAATCGGACTCAAAAACCAATTTCTTTAATGAAACAAATGCAGCTGTGGAAAGAGTGTAAAACAAACTAGAAAATACTACAAAGATAATAAAATTAATAAAAATTCAATCTAAAATAGGTTTGTTGATATGAAATGCTGCAAAATGTTTTCCGTCCGGATCCAAATCCTAAAAATCCGGATAAGATCCGGATCTGGATCCTAATTTTTTTTTTTTTTTTATGCAATGATAAATTATAAATTTACATAAATAAGGTTAGGTCTAAAATTTAGGCTAAAAATTTTAGAGGACCTTTTTTTTTTTTTTTTTTATTATTATTTTTTTTTTTTCAAGTCATTTTTAGGTTTCTGACCCATATAAAGGCCTCCAAAAACAAAAATAGCCCCGGGCCCCATGAAGTCTTAGTCCGCGACTGGGTTAGGTGTCACTCATATAGTTGAAAACTAGTCAATGGAGTGACACCTAAAAAAAAAGAAAAAAGTAAAAAGGAAAGAAAGATAAGCAACAATAACAATAAAAAAAATTTAAAAAAAAAAAAAAAAAAGAGGAAAAGAAAGTTAAAAGTAATAATATTTATAGAAATAATAATAGTAACAATAATATGAATAAAAATAATATAAAAAATAATAACTGAAATATAACAACGTAAAAATAATTACAAATGATAAAGCAATAGTAAGATAATTATAGCATAGTTAATAATTATAAAATAAACAATTTAAAGAATAGTTATAACAATAATGATAAAGCTACTGCAACTACTGAACTACTTTGACTATCATTATCGGTAATAATATTAAGGCAACAAAAACAAAGATATATATTATTTTTTTTTTTTTTTTTTAACATCTTCACTTCCAACAAGGCTGCAAGCAACCACTATAAGAGTTGGAAGTTACTGGAAGAGAAAAGACTAAATCTGTAGAGCAAGATAACGATTGACTGATGACTTAAAAGATTGCAAATTATATGAATCAGGAAAGCAAGATGAAGGAAGCTAATTCCAAAGAACTGATGTTCGAGGAAAAAAACTAGAAGAATAAGAGTTTTTGAAGCACTTAGGAACAGTCACAGAAAAAGGATGAGACTTAATTGAATGGCGAGTAACACGAGAATGAATTTTAGTAGATGGCACAAGGGACGCTAGCTCATTAGAGCAGTGCCCATTATAGTATTTGTAGAAAAGAGAAAGAGAAGCAACATTACGACGATGTGACAAAGGTTGGAGATTGGCTGCCAGAGCAGGTCCAACTATGTTTACAATTCGTTTTTGCACCTTGTCTAAAAGAGAAAGAGCATCATTAGAAGATCCGCCCCAGATGTGGCAACAGTATTCCATACAGGGACGAATTTGAGATTTATAGAGATAGAGAATAGAATCTGGAGTAAGAAAGTGTCGAGCTCGATAAAGAGATGCAACCTTAGCAGATGCTAATTTTGCAATGGATTTGATATACGGTTTAAAAGAAAGATCAGAATTAAGAGTTAATCCTAGAAGATGAATGGTAGATGACTCATCTAGTACATTACCATTCATAAATATAGGAAGATCTAAATTATTACGATAACGATTGGCCGAATAAAATTGAGTTTTATCTGAATTAAAGTTCACCAGCCACTGTGAGCCCCATGCTGTAGCAGAAGTGAGATCCTTTTCAAGCTCAGATACCCCCTCCAAGCAATCAGAGAGTGTAGGCTTCTTATCATGACAAGAGTAAATGGTAGTGTCGTCAGCGAATAATGCCACCTTAGATGTGAGAATATCTGGAAGATCGTTAATGTAAATTAAAAAGAGTATAGGGCCAAGGATTGAACCTTGAGGAACCCCTGAAGTTACAGGATGTGAAGAAGAGTGTTGTCCATCGAGGACAACTTTTATACTACGATTGGAAAGAAAGGACTCAATAATCTTAAAGACGTTACCAGCTACACCATAAGAAGAAAGCTTATGGAGAAGACCAGCATGCCAAACTTTATCAAAAGCTTTAGAAATGTCAAGTGCGATAGCCTTAACCTCTCCACCTCTATCTAATGCACGGTAAAACCTATCGGTTATTACTGTTAGCACATCAGCTGTAGAACGAGAAGACCGAAATCCATATTGATGATCAGAAAGTAAGTTATTTGATTCAAGATGAGAGATTAAGTGTTTGTTGATTAAAGATTCAAAAACCTTGCTTATGACAGGAAGAAGACTAATGGGACGGTAGTTAGATGAATCAGATCGCTCTCCGGAATTTTTGAAAATAGGGATAACAGATGCTGCTTTCCAGCATGATGGAAAACAAGACTCTGATAAGCACTTGTTAAATAGTTTAGAAAGTATGGATGAAAGCTCCGGAGAACACCTCTGCAAGACTACAACAGGAATGTTGTCAGGACCACAAGCTGTTGAAGAGTCTGAGCAGGAAATTACTTTAGATACAGAAGCTGAAGTGATGCGAATGTCAAGCAAGGGATCAACCTGTTTGACGGCTATGTCAGGTAAAACGCAACTAGTGGAATCAAGAGATGATATTGATGAAAAGTTCTTAGCAAACAATTCAGCTTTGTCTTTTAGTGAGGTGACAAAGTCTGAACCATACAAGAGAGAAGGAATAACAGATTTGCCCTTGTTATTGATACTGTTAAAGATTCTCCAGAAGTCTCGAGAGCCTAATTTTTGTGATGAGATACGAGATTTAATATAATAGCGATAATAGCGAGCTTTGGCGTCAGACAAAACCTTTTTACAATGGTTTCTGGCGATAGTGAATAGATGTCTGTTTTCTGGAGAATTGTTTTGCTGATAGATATGGAAGTAACGGTTTCGATTAGAAATTGCTGCAGCGCAATGTGAGGAAAACCAAGGAGAAGAGTGAGGCTTGACCTGGAATCGTCGAGAGGCAATAAAAGATTCCATGCCAGCCTGAATCCACGAAGTTATGTAAGAAGCACATTTGTCAGCAGGAAGACGAAAGATTTCTACCCAAGGGCCATCACAAAGAAAATCACAGAAAGAGTCCCAGTCAGCTTTAAGGTAGTTGTATGTGGTACGATGATAGGGGGATTCTGATGAAGTAGAAGAATTTGATAATAGTTTTAGAGAGATCAAACCGTGATCAGAACTACCTAAGGGTGAATGTGGAGAAATTGAGCACTGACTAGGATCCAAAACAAGACATAAGTCGAGTAGAGAAGGTAAATGATTAGGGTTGTCTGGAAAACGATTTGGAAAGTTGACTATTTGAGTTAGAGATTGAGAAAAGCAAAAGTTGAGGGCCTTAACGCCAGCAGAGTCACTGACACTAGAGCCAAGCCAATCGGTGTGATGGGCAT